TGTGATGACCTGGTAGCTCATTCAGATTCATGTTAGCTTCATGAGCTTTCTGGGAGTCAATTTATAGGCTGGAAGACAACCTCTCACATCTAAGCCTCTGCAGGAAGTGGAGCTCTCCATTTCCAAAGTTGAGCTCTTTAAAAAGAAAAAGAAAAACCTTGTCCTGATTTTTTTTTAAAAGCTGAAGGAGAAAAAAGAATAAATGCCAAGTATCTCACTTGATTTATGAAAGATCTTTGCTAATTTTCTCGGCTCAGTGGTTGTGATTCTAAAATATTATGTAGTCTTTACGTGGCGCGAAAAACTGAGCTAGCGTCTCCTGTTAGCCTGCGACTGAGATTGATTGCTGATCATATTAAGTCTGAAATAATGAGTAGCTGAAGCTGTTCCCAGGTTTCACACTGGACCTTTCCTCTAATTGCCTACTAAAATAGAATTGTTTGCATTTCTGCTTAATCTTGGGTTGTTGCTTACCTTGCCTTTTCTAGCCTGAAACGCAAACCACTAAAATGTTTATAGGGCAGTATCAATTCAGGTAATTATAGTCTTAATAAAAATTACAAATGCACTTCCACTTTTTCCATTTAGGAAGCTGAGAGCAATCCACTGTGTCGCCGATTACAGCTAAAAGATATTATTCCCACTGAGATGCAACGGCTCACCAAGTATCCCCTCTTGCTGGATAATATTGCAAAGTACTCAGGTACCACGTAGCCCGTTTTGTTTGTGGCTGGATTGGGATGTGGCCGTTGCAGAGAACAGTTTGGGTTCAAAATGAAACCCAAATTAACAAATCCTGTTGAAAAATAATTTGCCCCCATTTCTGTACTGCTTCACCTTTCTGAATTTCCCTTATTTTCCTCCAGATGAAGGAGCAAAGTGATGGGTTGTGATTTAAAAAATTAGATTGTCTATGATGAGATAAAGTATTCCGGGTATTCATTTTTGCCATTGCCGTTCCTCCCGTTTTGCACTCTTTATTACCTACAACATTAATGCATGAATTTCACAAAGCATTGATACAAAGTTCAGCTTCATAATTTGCTTTTAAAAAAACTCGAAAATGTGGGGCATTCAGGTTTTGTCTTAGCAGACAAAAGAATGCATTTTGTCTTGAGAATGAGTGTGGGTGCAGCTATGGGTTTCATTGTTGTTTCACATTTCACCCGTTTCATTTTTTTAGAGCAACCTTTAGAGAAGGAAAAAGTGAAGAAAGCAGCAGATCATTGTCGGCAGATTCTCAATTTTGTGAACCAAGCTGTCAAAGAAGCCGAGAACAAGCAGGTAAGAACAGGCAGGTGTAAGGGGATTATTGGCTGCAAGGTCTTGTCTATCCTTTGTTTTAAAGGGAATCCCAGAGTGACTAATTGTTGCTAGCCTTCAGCCAATTTGTATTTGTATTTGTATTTATTAGTACTTATAGGCCGCCCTTTTCCCTGAGGGGACTCAGGGCGGCTTACATAAAATGAGGGGGGGGGGGTATACAGACAATAGACACAAACAATACATAGAAGTAAAATAGTAAACAACATTCATTCATCATTCGGGTGGGGACAGGTTATCTTTGTCCCCAGGCCTGACGGGCTAGCCAGGTCTTAAGGGCTACCACTACCATGAAGGGCTTTACAAGTAGCACCTTGAAGCGCACCCGGAGATCAACAGGTAGCCAGCGCAGCTCGCGGAGGATAGGTGTTATGTGGGTGAACCGAGGTGCACCCACAATCGCTCGCGATTGTCCTTGGCCAGAGTAACTGACTTGAATTTGTCTTCTCTCAACAGCATTTGGAGGACTACCAGCGGCGGCTTGATTTGTCCTACCTGAAGCAAGTGGAGGGCCCTTTGCTGGATGAATTCAGGGTGAGTGGAAGAAAGAAGAGGGGGATCCTGAAATCTGATAAGCATTCATAAATGCAAAATGACCTCCCTACAATAATTACAAAGTGAAATAATCAAAATCACTCTTTGCCTTTTTCTGTGAATAAATAAGATGGTGAATAGATATCAAAAGATCTCTGATATTGGCTCTTCAAATTTGAAATGTTGGTCCTTCTAATAAATATTTTGAATTCTACAAACAGTGACCAGAACAGTAGTTGCAACACTAAAACAGTTACTAGGAAGTAAAATACAGTAAAAACAGGTAAACACCAAGGAGCTATCAATCAAAATGGATAAATTATTTTTTTTTTGCTCTTTTTTGATAGAATTTAGATCTAACAAAGAAGAAAATGATTCACGAAGGGCCTCTGACTTGGAAGGTGAATCGTGACAAAACTATTGGTACGTTGTAACCTGTTCTTTTCATTGAGACTTGTAGGACATTTGAGCGGGGGTGAGGGAATTACTTGAGGATGTTATGTTATTTCCTCAGAGCTAATTAAGCAGTGAGTATTTTGAAGTGGGTTGGAAGATAATAAAGACCGCAGCGGTTTTCAAGCTGGTTCTCAGAATTACAGATGGGTCTAAAATGCTTTGTATGCCTGACTGAGACATTTTATGGCTTCTTATTGCTTCTGCCTGGGATGCAGCCTTCGATTGCAGCTTTCGATAACAACAAGGTAGAAATAATAGCCCATTTCCGTTTTTCTCCTACCACTGCAGATCTCTATACATTGCTCTTGGAAGATATTCTGGTATTGTTGCAGAAGCAAGATGACAGACTGGTGTTGAGGTGTCACAGCAAGATCCTGGCTAATACAGCCGATAGCAAGCACACATTTAGCCCTGTTATTAAATTGAACACCGTCTTGGTTCGCCAAGTGGCTACAGGTTAGTAGGACTGAGAATGTTAAGTGGTTCTAACACTGTTTTGAGAAAAATGGTGCTATCTAATCCAGTCTGCCCTTGGGTATAAGGATGGGATTCAGGGAAGAATCATTGCTCATTAAGAAGAACCTTGACGCCCCTCTCAAGCAGCTAGCTGACCCTCCGCTTTCGGACAGAATGCACTATGAGCAGCTGAGTCAGAGCTGAAATTTTTCAGGCTGTATGGATGTCGTTCTGTCTGGTCAATTCAGAGATGTGTATTTTCCAGTAACAGCCTCCTATCAGTCGGTGGAAGTAATATAATGGACTGTTGTTTCCATACCCTGGATGGAAAGGATCATATCAGTAAAGAAGAATATATGGAGCTGGGGGTTGAAACGAGGGTCCTCGGTGTTCTCTCTGAGCTTGGTTGTTTTCTTGTAGGCGTTTCATTGCCCAAACTAGGTAACGTCATCAGAGCATTGATGATGTTATCTGTTTTGGGGTAATGAAACCCAAGGACCTCCCAAGGGTCTGTTAACTGAAGTTAAAACACAAATAGGTAATACAACAAGACAATGGTTCAACCCGTTCACACAGGACTACAGTAAAATCCATGGTTACCATCTTGTTGGTTACCTGTATCTTCAGTCTGCTGCACTTCAGATTTTTCTGGGAAAAGGTCCTATACTGTGGCATTCTCCTACCCTGTAGATTTATACTTAATAGAAGCAGCCCTGTTTTAATCCAGTTAAATAAAAGTGCTTGCCGGAATTGACTACTCTTAAAAAGCTGGCTTTTAGTCCCTAACCTTCATTTAAGTATATATATTCCTAATTGCTCTCCTTGTAAGGGCCCAGTTTGGGAAAAGAGCCTAATTAGGTTCCATGCAGAAGTTGTATAATTGATTTTCCAGCAAATGGCGTAATAGATGCTGTAATTAAACTTCTGACCTGCGAGAGGTAAAGTGTGAGAATTGCTGCTTCATTCCTTTGGGCTAAGATTAAAGCAATGGCTAATTTCAGCTATTTGGTTTCTAGTGGATTAAAACATAATCAGTCTTCGATATTTGAAGAATTTGATTTTTATTAGTAGTATCCGTAAGGAGCTCTGGTAACTGGTTAGTGAAAGGACCGGGGTGGGATTCAGCCGGTTCGGGTGAAGCAGTAGCTCCGACGATCAGGTTGGCCCACCCCTGCACTTTACTTACCTATATCCTCTCAGCTGATTCACGCAGCAGAGCGGATTGCCGCGTCTCAGGTGTGTAACTCCCCAGAAGTAACGTGGAAGGTAAGTTTTGTTAAAACTGCTGACGCGCGTGGAGCTGAACTGGTTGTTAAACCGGCAGGATCCCACCACTGGAAAGGACTAACTTTTCCATAGAACTTTATGCAAATAGAAGTGAACTGCATTGCCCTTTTTATTCACCTGTTCGACAATCCTTAATACANTGATGTTGGGGACAAAGTAGACTATATCCTATGTATAGTCACTTTAATTAGCCATACCAGCAGAGAATCAGAATTAAGCATTATACCCATCTTTATTACATGGACTGAAAGCATACTAGGTCTTGTACTAGAAACTGAATTCCTTATAGGCTGTTGCAAAAGAGTGAAAAGTATCAGTTTTGAAACTTAATTAAGGACATCCCTACAACATTGTAGAACAGCTCTCTTTCAATAGGGCCTGCTAAGGGAATTTCAGTGGACTGTTCCCTTTCATTGGAACTCTGCAGTTTTCTGCTTTGAGCACTAAATGTCCTAAGAGACCATGCAGGTCTCTTGTTATTTATACAACAATTTATTTCTGCCTTGAAGGTGTAAGATTCTTTGGTAAATCTGAATTGCAGAATAACTAAAACAGTGTTTCTCAACCTTGGCAACTTGAAGATGTCCAGACTTCAACTCCCAGAATTCCCCAGCCAGCATTCGCTGGCTGGGGAATTCAGGGAGTTGAAGTCCAGACATCTTCAAGTTACCAAGGTTGAGAAACACTGAATTAAAACTTTCCTTTTAAATCAAGCAATGTCCACCCTCTGGCCCAAAGGCCGCATGCAGCTTGGACAGCTAGCGATGCGACCCATTTTTAACATTATTATGTGATTTTTAGCGATAATACACATTAGTTATATTTTCTTTATCTGTGGCCCAAGACTATTCCTTTTCACTCAGTGTGGCCTAGGCAAGCCACAAAAAGCTGGACACCCATGTTTTAAATGGTTCCATGAGAAGACCCTTTTGACGACAATGATTCCTTTGGTTCCTTTTCAACTGCAGCAAAGTATGAAGAAAGATAAGGAAGGGGATGAAAAGAAGAGGAGGGTCTTCTCAAATATCCTGGGACCTCCAAGGAGGCCAAGCCGCCATGACAGCTATGCAAGTATGTCAACTGAAGATACACGTATGTTGTTTTTCTAGTTAATTTGATCATAGCGTCCTGAAGCTGAATGTTGCTAGCCTACGGTGGGTGTATTGTTCAGATTTCAGAGGAGAGTAAATTTCCTGCATTGCTGATTACTCCTTATCCACCCAGTAGGCAGAGCCATGGAGATGCAAAAACAACGCCATCCAAAGCACTTAACCTCATCGTCTTCGGTCAGCCCAGAACCGCCAGATTTGGTCAAGATGCGCCAAAGTGGGATCAGTGATGGCATGGATTCAGCCTTCCAGCCTGCTAACTTTGTGTCTCCAGCGGCTTCCGGAACGTACCCATCTCAGGAAGGGAGCAAAGATGGCGAAACAGGTAAATTGACATCATTGTTAAAAACCGCATTACAGTCTCTCTTCACTTTCCATTTGCAAGAGGAAAACATTCCATTGCCATGGGGGTCACTGTCATATTATAGGTTTGTGACTATTGAAAGGCCATTTGTCTCATTCAGGAGATGATGTGGTCCTAGGAAAAATAGATGGAGAAATAGTGGAAAACACTTTAGAAAGTGGGTTTAATACAGCTCTACCTTATTGATTTGTTGTGTTATATTTAGGGCCAAAACAAGTTGGAGAAGCAATTAATTCTGGTGATTCTGTGGACGGCACACCTTGTACATCTGGCNACCATTTGACTGAAGGCTGATGGTGGTTAGTGCTAGATTGGGGAAATCTGACTTCTGTCCTCCAGTTGTTAGGACAAAAGCAGGGAGAACCAGGGGCTCCTTCCCAAGGGCTTTGGGCTCCTGCCTCTTGACTGATGCCTTCCAAGAAGAGGGAATGCTTGCCAGGACTTTCCTTTGATGCTCTCGCATTTCCTTTTCAGTGGGTTTACTGAAGAAATTACTGATGCAGCAGCTTGGCATGTCTGAGCAAGTGTCCCTTGAAGACTGGCATCCTTTTTCTGACCATGGAAGAGATCTGTCAGGGCCCCTCGAGGAGAACATTGTCAGGAGAGGACTTCAGTACTCAGATAACAATGACACTACCCTGTCCGGGCCTGGAAGGACACCCATGGGGACAAAAACAAATGACTTTGAACTTAGTTGTGATAAATGGCCTTCAAACGAATTGGTCTCTCCAGGGGACCCTGTGTTGCACAGCAGGCAGTTGATGGACCCCTTGAGGACAAACGCAGAACCCCCAGCCAAGGAACTGGAAGGAGGAGGAACCAGTGCTGCGGATGATGGTGGGGAGCACTTTTTTGATGCTCAGGAAGCTCACAGTGAAGGGAACCCATCAGAAGGTGGTGTGGTAGATGGGAAGGAGGTAGAAGAGGTGCAGCTACGGATCTCAGGTGAGTCAATCAACGAAGGTACACATTTGAAACGGACAACTGAGTTATAAAAGCCCCTGGATGTTATTGGGAAAGATGATGGAGTCCTTCTGGGCCACGACAAAACCTAAGAGTATCTGCTAAATGCTGAATCCTCTCATTAAGCATGTTCCTAGTAATCAGAGTTTCCCTGGATATGTTTGAAATGCATTGGGAGAGAAATAAGAAATAGAATTTGGAGGTGTGGTGTCGAGTTCCAGCCGTTGGCTGTTTTATCATGGTTGGACCTTTTCCCCTTTGATCTTTTCGAGCAATAAAAGACTGATTAAATCCAATTAGAGCTTCATCACTGGAAGCTTTCAAGAAGACACTGGACTGCCATCTGTCAAAAATTCTGTAGGGTCTCCTGCTTGGGCAGCGGGTTGGACTATATATAAATCTGTATACACCCCTTCTGTTCACCCAAAATCCCATTCAGATTGCCACTTCCCCTACATGGCACCTACTTTTAAAAAACCACACATTTTTTCCCATCTACCACAAGTTGTACCTCTCTCTTTTATTCCAGTGTGGCAGGAATTAGTTGACTGTGGAATAGCTTCCTAACAGAGCAGCAAAAGTGTGTTGGGAAATAGGAAGTTTGCACGAGGCACACAGAAACAGATAGATTGGGTTATGTGTTCCCCAAGCCATTTATCTGCTGGAGCTGTTCATAAACGGGGACCGTTAAGGTTGTTCTCTTTGCAGGAAATTATTTGATCCTTGATGGATATGGCACAGTACAGGAGAGCTCCACCGACGAAGAGGTCACTTCGCTGGTTCTACAGTGCACTGCAGACAGAAGCGCAACAGACTCTGCCCACCAGCAGCCCAGGTCTCGGGATGACCAGCCTGTTACAGCCAGCTCACCATTTGCAGAGGAATTGCTGGCCTCCCACTGGCAAGCTGCCAAGGAATCCAGTTCAGATGCATTAAGGGCTTCCTTCTCTGTCGAGTCGCGTACCCTGATGATGCGTTACATCCAGAACATAGAGGCCAGCCTTCAGCGTTTGAAGGTAGCGTGTTCTCATGTAAATGAAATATCTTTGGGCTGTATATATCTTTTTTTTTTAAATGGCTAGATTTTAAGAAATTGGAGATTAGGAGGCTTGTGGGGGATAAGTCATCCAGAGAGAGATGTTTTTCTTCTTGACTGATTTTCACAGTATCTTTTCAAACTAATGTTCAGTTCTGCCCTATAAATTCTAAAATCAGGAGAATCAGATGTTATCCAGAATTATATTTATACATTATCTGTCCCTTTTGCTGGCTGGGTTGCTGAAGATTAAAGATTTGTCCTAGATTTTAGAGACAGAGATGAAAAATGAGAACCTTGGAATAACCCTGAGGAAGAGAAGCTTTCATGTCTGGAGAATGTGAATGAATGTTAGGAACGACTTATGGAAAAGAACGGCATCATACAGTTTAAAGCTTTGAAGACTGACATGTAAAGGTTGAAATCAATGTTGATTTATCAAAGCCAAGGTGTTGAAACTTCTTGAGCCAAAATTAAACAAAACCCTATTCAAGTCTCAGAGGCTCAAAAAGAGAAGAGTCAATATTTTATTTAGAGGAATCTAGCAGAGCTGACAGTACTAAGATCAGACAGAAAGATTTGATGTGGGCATAGTGTCCTAAATGGAAGAGTTGATTGCCACCTTATAAAAAGATTCTTGCCTAACTTTGGCTTTAAGAATTTGTGTTCTGCACTCAAACATCAAACATTTATTTTAAGATAGCCGTTTGGTGCTCTCTAGTGTCCAATCTTCATTAGTTGTCTTTATTAGTTTCACAGTGTATAAACAAAGGATTTTCCCCTGACAAAGGATCTTTTCAATTAGCTTCAGAGGCTTAAATCAAGCCTCTCTGAACAATAATTTAGTATTTAGTATTTATTAATACTTATAGGCCGCCCGTTTCCCTGCGGGGACTCAGGGCGGCTTAAATAAAAAATGAGGGGGGGGGGTATACAGACAATAGACACAAACAATACATAGAAGTAAAATAGTAAG